GCCCGCGGCGCTTGGGCTACTGCTTCTGTGCGCCGCGGCGGCCGGTGCCGGCAACGTAGAGGAGCTGCACTACCCGCAGGGCGAGCACCGCACCGACTACGACCGCGAGGCGCTGCTGGGCGGCCAGGTGAGGCGGCCAGGCCGGGGCTGGGAGGGCCGGGTCTCGCACATCCACCGCCGCTGCCGCCGCCGCCGCCGCCGCGGGCTTTGTCCCGGGACAAAGGGGGACGGCCGGCCGAGGCCTGGCCGGGGCGGCCTGACAATGGTGGCCGGGCAGGGCGTAGCGATGCTCCTGGTTCTTGCCGCTTGCTTTCTAGGGGAGCCCTGGGCCTCTCTAAGCCTGAGGAAATGGCACGGCCGGGGAGCCGGATCCGTTTAAGAGACCCCCTTCAGCCCTCCGGAGTTGGGGCAGGATCATTGATGGTGTGTTTAGGGGGTGGGGGCCTTGGAGAACAAGTGGGGTCACTCGGAAACTCCTCGGCAAAGGAAGGCTTCTGGTCCCCATTCCCCCTCCACCGTCTTGCTCCATTGATAGTAATGCTTGCCCCCTGTGTATCCTTTCCCCCCAAAGGATGAAGTCGATGAATATGTTAAACTCAACCCCGAAGAGCAGCACAAAAGACTGAAGTCAATCATAAAGAAGATTGACTTGGACTCAGATGGCTTTCTCACCGAAAGTAAGAACGGTCTTACACAACTAACAGTGGAGAAATCTCTTTGTCGGAAACAGAAACGCAAACATTTTAAACAAGGGTGTCTGTTGAACGTAGATTGCTAGCGTTCTAACAAATTGGAGGCACCGTGAGAGGGGAAAAAAGGGCATGAAAGTACCTTTATTCCTGGAAATCTTTAGACATAGGTTACCAAGTACAACTCAGTGTTTTCCCTGGTAAGATATAAACCCTGCACGGTATGTGCAATTCATACCTTGAAGGCACCTTATTCCTCACGTGCTTTTTTCCTTAAATCTGTGTCAACAGTGTGATTCGAGAGAAGTATGCCAAAAACCTTCTGAAGGCATTAAGTGATTTGTTGCTTTTTTGATATATGCTTCATTAGAATTTTCATCCTTACTCTTCTTTTTAAAAACAAGTAGAAAAAGACCTGTTGCATGTGAATTACGTTTTTCACAAATGTTAGAGCTGGTAGGGGCTTGAGAATTATCTTGTCCATCTCTCTCATTATAGAGATGAAGAAACTGAAACCCAAAGGGATAAGGGACTTTTTCAAATAATTGACAAACCCAAGACTAGAATCCAGGGCTCATGCTCATAATGCAGTTTTTAATATCCTTCACTTAAAAAAAAACAAAACAAAACTGAGTGCTGTTAGGTAGGTTCTCCAGTTAGAAATAAAATGCACAGGTTATTAAAAGAATGTTCTCAATAAATGTCTGTACAACGGTCTCTCCCCATTGCTTAATTCAAGTGAGGAACCCTTTCAACTTTTGAAGTTGATTCTTAAAGATTCAGAAGATAATTACTGTGACCATAAGTTAGTTATTTTGCTATAACTCATTTAGATTTTGCTCAGCACCCATCAATGAAGTTGCTGGAGATTGAATTGCAAACTAATTGGTAAATTTAAAACATGCTGCCAATGAAGTATTCACATTGGTGCCCTCAAGAATATTAAGATTTTGGTTCCTTTCTACTTAAAACAAAAAATTATCCGATAAGAAAAAGTACATATTTGTTTACATTAGACTGCACACAGAATAAGTTGATTTGGAAGACTATGTGGTACCTGTCTGTCAGGGCCTAGATATATATGTTTGAATATTTAATCATAAACATTAAAAAATGTTAAATCTGAAAGGAACTTAGTCCAAATCTTCATTTTTACAGATGAGAAAACGAAGGTTCTGAGAGGGTTAACTTCCCGTGTTTGGCAGAGCTGAAGTTAGAGCCCACATTTCTGATGCCACTTTATCTCTCTTTAAATAATCTAGAAGAAAGACCCTTGACGCTTAGGAAACCCTCATTCTACTTGGGGCCTCTTCATGGAATGTTACTCATTTGTACTTTGCTGTCCAGGACTGGATCAGAGGTTCTTGAGAATTTTCAAAATTCAGTGGAAAGATTTGGGCTTTGAAGCCACATATAGACTTGAATCTGGCCTTGAGACTTCCTGAACCTCAGTTTTACAGTGATGATAATAACTACTTGTTTTGGAAGTTTAGAGACAATATATAGAGAGGAATTGGTACATAGTAATTGTTCAATATCTGCTTGCCATAATAATTATTATTCTGGACTGAGCTTTAGGAAAGATACAGTGGCTTTGCAATTCACCAGATCCCCCCCAAACCATAGAGGGATACCACTGTTTAATCCAAATGGTCTATCACCTTTAACCAAGTGGTATACTCCTACAGATGTTGTCCTTGCAAATATTCATGTTTTCTCCTCGCCTCCTTTTTAAAATGCACTATAGTAAATATCTCTATGAACAGATTTAAAAGTTGATCTCAAAGTGAGCATTTGAGATTTAGAAACTTTCCCGTGTCTTCAAGTACAAAGTCAAGTCAACTGTTGCAGAAGGGCATAAATTATAATTGCTACTCATAGTTTTGCTTCAATTCCCTCCAGATAGTTTATGACATGGTTAAAGGGAATGTACTGAAATGCTTTCCCAAACTTCAATCACTTGAATAACTTCTCACAATTTAGGCCATATCCACACACCATCTATTATTTCCTTGATATAGTTTTGATTCAGCTCATTTAAGTAAAATTTATTTTAAAAGAAAACTTTACATCACTTTCATAAATGAAAAACACTGTATTTTCTAATACATATTAAAATAAGTTACTCAAGTAAAAAACATTTGTGCTTCCTGAGAGATTTTTGGTAGTTTGCAAGTTATCTGCAATTTGTTGGATAATATTTTTTAAAAAAGGCCAAGTGCACTTTTTACCAGAAATTCATTCAACAAATATTTATTGAGCCAGGCACTTCCTAGGCACTTGGTATATGTCAGTGAACAAACAGACCCAAACTCTGCACTCATGGAGCTTACATTCTGGTGATCACATGTTATAATATTCTTAGACTCCAAATAGCTCTCCCTACCCTCTGCCCCTTACTCTGTCAATACAATTAGGCCAACTCCTCGCTCAGTATTTGCAAACACTGATGATTTTTTCCCTCCA